CCTCCCTCCCCCGGCCGCATTCGCGCACCCGCACAGGATAAACCCCAACTAACCCCCATAAACAGGACACGCAAACGCAGCAATCCCTGATCGCGCAAATATACCGTCTAGTCGCGCAGCGTCCAGCAAGTGCCTGCAACTTCCTCCCACTCCCTCCTCTCCTCTCGCAAGGCGCTAGCTCCTCCGCCTCCGGGCCCTCCGATACCCCCACGCAAATCACATACCGGACCTACGCAACGCTGTCGTTCATCATGATCTCTACGTCCACTGAGTCCCCGCTCGCTCTGATCGATCTGATTCAGGTATTTGTCGAGGCGCTGGATCGCATGTTCGAGAATGTCTGCGAGTTGGATCTTATCTTCGGATATGAGACTCTGCATGCTGTGCTTGGTGAAATGATTGTTGGTGGGGTTGTTGTTGAGACGCATATTGAGAAGATTATTGCTGGTGTGCGGGCTCAGGAGGGATCGCTGGGGAAGAAGAAGGCTGTTCAGGCTGCTAGTACTAGCTTGGGTCGTGGGGCATTGCCTGGGTTGGGGGCTTGGAGGTGATCTATGGAGGATAGGTACTTTCTCTTTTGATGGCCTGCATATATATGGATGGATCCGGGGATTATTGTGTCCTATCTGGTCTATCTAAGGCGTTATGGTTACGCATTCTAGACTTACTTTCGCAGGATTCGGGGGTGATATTTTAAACTTTTCGGTTATTGATGCCTTTTAATGATGTATTCGCTGAGATAATTGTACATTGTGAGATTTTGTAAGAGCCAAATACTCATATCTCCCGGAGGATGTATGTCAACATCCACTCCCAGTCCTTAGAAACATCCAAGCTAGATCACTCCGCTGGCCCCAATACCCCACTTATGTTTCACCCACGCAGAAGCAGCCTTTGCCAGTATTAATACCAGTCCTAGAAAACAGGATAGGTATCATTATACCGGGGAAAGGCGGTTATGGATGATTGGTTGTGCATCTTGATATTGGCAAGACATGCTGTATTCCAGACTCTCTTGCCATCTGCGAGAATTCGAGGAGCGGAAAACTTTTGTATCATCCTTGATTCCTCCGCAGGCAAAGTGGAAGGAAGCCACTCCAATCGAAGAATTTTGGGGAAAGACAATTGCTTCAAATGGGCGTAAGCGTCAGCCCCCTCGCCTATGAGTTAGTAGCGATATTCTCCTCTCCCTTGTCGTGTCACCGATAGATTGAGGCGCTGATGTTTCACGTATCTTAAAGATACGTCGAGAATAAAATCCCATGCTGTTTCTTTGCCACTGTCATTCCTCACTCGCATATTGCACGTAGAGGGTAAAGTGGCATTAGTGGACCGTTGGTATTGCCTGACTCAGTAGCGGGCTGGACTGAATCACACCAGCTTGGTTTCAGATCCGTTCTCTGCGAGGACTCCCCTTAGGGTTGTAGGGTTTGCTACATTGCGATATAGCTTTACTTCCCAAAGCTCTATAACGCAACATCCGTCCCTATGTATAGATCAATGCGCGATGTAAGAGAACGCTTACCAGATGTGGGGGGTCAAGGGGGAGGAAAGACGACATGGCCAATCCAGAGCTGGAGTAGGGCCGATCTTTCCGTACCCCCGATGATTAGCGTGCTGTCATTCGAACAGTAGACTGTGATTAGACATCATTTCAATTGACGCCAACTTGTTCTGAGAGATGTGAGGGGGAATTGTAAGATCAAAAAACTTTGTTTTGTTTCTGGTGTTTATTTACAAGATTGATGTGTACATAATTGAGGCCGTGGACCCTCCATTGTGGCTGCCAGAATCTTAGGAGACGTTTGGTGTCATGTGACATCTTCTCACGTGAAACTCCAAATCTACCCTAGCATCTTGCCCTAGCCCTGGTCACCTGATAACGCTAGCGCGACCCACAGAAACTTCATAAGTTGCATCCACACGAACTTTTCCCTTTCTCATCCGTCAACCGTCAATCAGCGCAATCCCAGTCGACAAAATGGTGGTGAGTACATCAACTGTCTCTTGATAACTTCAGAGGCTTCTTCTAGTTCCTGCGATGTCTCACGACATTCGCTTTGCTTCAGATCTTTTGATCTAAGCAATTCCGCCGATCGCGCACAGCCTCGAAAGAGATGTGTCGCGCATCGTGTGATGATTTTGGCTGGAAGCATGGAGTCAATGCCTGTAAAACGGCTTGGCTCATGTTCTCCTTAGAGTTCAAAGAAGATGCAGCACTATGTGAACAGCACGCTGATCTTCTTCCTCAATGATAGCCTCCTACTAAGTCCGGAAAGAAGACCGCCGCTATGCCCTACCCCCAGGGCAAGGCTGGCGCTGGCAAGAAGGCTGCCAAGGTACGTTTCTTTCTTCCCTCTTGAGGAGTGCATTGAGTCCTTGAAAAGATAGCTAACCGTTCTGCCACAGAACCCCCTTATCGAGAAGCGCCCTCGCAACTTCGGTATCGGCCAGGACATCCAGCCCCGTCGCAACCTCTCCCGCTTCGTCAAGTGGCCCGAGTATGTTCGTCTTCAGCGCCAGAAGAAGATCCTGAACATGCGCCTGAAGGTTCCCCCTTCCATCGCTCAGTTCCAGGCCACTCTCGACCGCAACACCGCTGCCCAGACCTTCAAGCTCCTCTCCAAGTACCGTCCTGAGACCAAGGCCGAGAAGAAGGAGCGTCTCGTCCAGGAGGCCACCGCTGTCTCCGAGGGCAAGAAGAAGGAGGATGTCTCCAAGAAGCCCTACAACGTCAAGTACGGTCTCAACCACGTCGTCGGACTCGTTGAGAACAAGAAGGCTTCCCTCGTCCTCATCGCCCACGATGTTGACCCCATTGAGTTGGTTGTCTTCCTGCCCGCTCTCTGCCGCAAGATGGGTGTCCCCTACGCCATTGTCAAGGGCAAGGCCCGTCTCGGCACAGTCGTCCACAAGAAGACTTCCGCCGTTCTCGCCCTGACCGAGACCCGCGCTGAGGACAAGGCCGAGTTCGCCAAGCTCCTCTCCGCCATCAAGGAGGGTTACACCGACAAGAACGAGGACTCCCGCCGCCACTGGGGTGGTGGTATCATGGGCGCCAAGGCCAACGCCCGCATCGAGAAGAAGCAGAAGGCTCTCGATGCCGCCATCAAGGTTTAAGCTTGTGTAACTACAGCTTTTCTTCCTTTGATGTCTGTTTGACGGGATCGTTTTCTAATCGAAGCGCTCGGATCTCAAAAATAATGAGTTGTTATGGGAAACAACGAGGTGTTGGAAGGCTTTGACGATCTATTGACGGCCAATTCTTTTAGCTTTAGATGGGTGCGAAAGAGCTCTTTGGCCCTTCTTGGATCCTGTTCTAACAAAAAAAGACATATTTTTCTCTCACGAACTCCAATGGCCCCATGTACCAACTTTTCTGCAGATACCCATGAATGCATTTCTCTACCTGTTCAATCTATTGATGGTCTTTGTAGTCCCATCAGAACTAGGCATTCATGTCGTCTGCTTTGTATTTGTAGTATCTTTGTATATGACTGTTGGGTTGTAGTCTATACGAGTTCTTTGTGTGTAGATGGTAGACAAAACCTCGGAACCTCAGACAAAATCTCTTCTGCACTATTTTACCCAATCGAGATTTTCATTTTTCTGATTTGTGTGGGATCAGCGAGACAGCGACACCTGCCAAGAATACCAAGTCTTTTCTAAAGTATAGTCCCGTCTTGGCACATATCTTAAAGATGTCTGCATACTCCTATTTAACAGTCTTACATTAAAGAAACAGGCCATATGCCAGTTGATTAAACCTTTTAAGAGTACTTACTACAAGACTAAATATATAGTGGAGGGGTTGAGGGGTAATCTCTCCCTGGAAAATACTTTTTCGCTTTAGGCTACCATGAAATATATATAGACATAACAACATTCAAGTATATCCATCCATATCACATACTCATGAGACTATCTAGAAATTGTTTCCGTTGTTATCATACGCATCGTGGACCTGCTCATTGGCCTGGTACTTGGCCTTCTCCTTGTCAAAGAAGTCCAATCCCCTAGTCTCGGCCTCACGGTCGACAAAGGCACCAGCAAATCCAGCAAGGATCTCCTTGGCCGTGGCGTGGCCGTCAGGGTCGCCTATTACATATGAGAAGTATTAGCTTGGATTTGTGTACTGAATGGTCAAAAGAAGGGAGGGGAGGGGGGTTGTATATGTACCATTCGCAGCGACGTGGTTCTCGTAGGCCTTGGCTGCTTCGTAGCTAGCGGCACCGGCGATCAGCTCGTGGATCACGGAGGGATCGTGCTCTTGCTGGCCGTTGTAGGTGTCGTAGGCCTGAGCCTGATTGGAGTCGTCTAGGTCGTGTGTTAGTGCAAGGGTGGTATCGAGGAAGGATAAAGGGGATACTCACCACTGAACCAGCCCATTTTGAATTGAATAGTTAAGAAAAGTTGACGAGAGAGGATAGTAGAGGGGAGAAGTGAAACATGAAGAAGACGGGGTAGTCTAGTGGGTTTTATACTCTTCCACTAGTGCCACTTCATCGTTTATAGTCACATCATTGAGGGGCATAGGCTTCCGAGGACCAGTCATACAAGGCGACGCTGACTTTGGTCTAGTCAGAATATAGATGACACAGAGGTGTATAACATATACATGCAAGACAATCTCTATTAAGAAGAGAAATAGTAAGATAGTTAATAATAAACAGGTTTATTACACCCCTCAGATAATCTACATCCCGGGAAACCGATAATCATGAGCAGAATAAGAGAAGACAAGGCTGGTATGATGAAATTACAGTAAGATCCAGAGGTCCACGGCCAAAAGCATAAGAAGGGGAAAAAAAGTACAAAGAAACCCAAAAGCCAGCCCTATGCTCCCAGAAGACCAGAGATGCTCACCGCCGATTTTTTCCAATATGAATGATGACACTGAGAAACCCCGTCTAAAGACACAAGTTGAAGCAAAAGCAAGCGAAGAAGGTGTATAATGTGAAGAAGGACGAGACATAAACGTGATCGCGGTCATTTGGTCATTAACGTTGAGGAGGTCGTGAAAGCCCTTGGCGTACCTGCAATTTTTGTTAGCCAAATTCAATAAGTATTCGGACCACAACCTCTCACCTTCATTTGTTCAATTCTCGCCTTCAGTTGGCTGGTGACTTCCGCAGCTCGCTTCCAGTTCTCTGCCGGTTCAGAAGATCTGGGCTGCTGCTGGTCGTCTTCGGTGAAATTTGTGTTGGAGTTCCGGGCAGGTGAGCGCGTCGGGCTACCAACCGCCGAGTAACCATATGTAGGGCTCAAATTGCGCCGGCCTAGGCCACCATTACGACTGCTGGGTCCCGGTGATTCCATGCCATTGTTCTCCCTCTCCTCACTGGGAGTCGCAGAGGCGTAGCTTCGAGGACGTGAGCTTTCGAAGCGAGATCCCATGTGAAGACCAGATCGTGCAGCAGCATTGCCGTTGCCGAGGTGGTCTTGGTGGATGGAGCTTGTGTCCGGCACACCCATGCTTCCTGTGTCGGAGGCAGCGTTAGGTGGGCTTATGGCAGACGCACGAAGTGCTCGTGCGAGTTCACGCTTCAATCTTTCAATCTCTCTCTGCTGTTTTTGAACACTCCCCTCCGCGGTTTCCGCGTCACTCCGGGCTCGAACAAGTTGAGTCTCTTTCGCCTTGATGCTCAAGACATCGCGGGTGTGGTCTTCAATGAGCTGTGCATTCTGGTTTTGAAGTTCAGTGATCGTGGAGTTGAGCCTTGAACGCTCAGACTTCATATCTTCCACGGTTCGGTTGAAGTTCTCCTTCTCCGCCCGCAATGCCTCCAACTCCGCACGTTCGGCGGCTGCTATAGCGTTGGCGGCAGGTGAAGGGGCAGGGGCAGGTTCAGCAGGTGCCGACGGTCTGGCAATGGGCCGACCCGCAAGGCCACGACCTAGACCGAACTTGGGAGCGGCTGGTGGGGGAGCCACATCCTCTTCGGGGGGGTGGAGCAACTCGTCGTGATGGTGACGCAGTAGTTCCGGGGCCAGCAAGCTTCCGTTGCAGCTTGAGACCTGACCCAGGAGTTGCAAGACCGCCGGCCTTCGGAGCACCGAGCTTTGAAGGGATTCCCCTGGCCGCAGGCCTGGCCGGGGGTTCCTCTGGGGCAGGTGGAGCGGCCACAGGGGCTAGCTTTTTCAGCCCGGATGCCGGCTTCTTGCCAACGACCTTCCTAGCAGCCGGGGCAGCAGGCTTTGGGGGTGCGATAATGGCCTTGGGTCGCTCCTTGGCCTTGACTTCAGCGGTTCCGAAGTATTCTTTGATTTTTGTTTTCCGAATCTCGTCAAGTCCATCGAGATACGGGTTCATGGCTCGTTCACCCAGAATCTTCATTAATGTACCTAGAATTTCAGCAGCTCCCTCACGGATTGCCGGGGCTGACTCGGTCAATAGCTTTGTGCCGGCATCAGCGATCGCTTTCTGCTCTGGTTTGGCTGGTACCGTCCGGGTTATGCGCAGGCAACGAACCAAGAACTTGACCGTTTCCTGCTTGATCTGTGGGTTCTTGTGCTTGAGATACTCAAATATTTCTTCCAAGCATTCCGTAAGGGTTGTCGTGGTGAAGACAGCATCCAATGCCTGACCCAAAGCATCTGTAACAGCCGTCTTCTTTTCTTTCAAACGTTCAAACATGGGCGCCATAATGGTGCTTCGGTATTTGCTAAAGCCGTTGCGAAGGCCTCTGGCCAGCACGTCCACACAGTTTGCAGCTACCGTGGCGACAGCGACGTTGGCATCCTTCATGGATTTGGCCAATCCCCTCACAATATCATCGTAGGGGCCGTCTTTGATTCGAGGAACGTTGATAACATTATAGAGAGCGTCCAACGCTTCCTTGCGGTCCTTCCATTTTGACGAAGCCAATTGATCATGGAAGTCGGCAGGGACTTTTTTAATGACATCAACCGGTTCCGCCAGGTCGAAGGCATCAACAACCACCGCATCCTCCTCCTCATCAAAGTCGTCACCGGCTGGTTCTTCACCCTCCTCGCCTGCCGGTGTAGCGCTGGCCGTGGCCATGGCATCTTGTTGTGCCCGAGTGAATCGCTCTTGCTTCGGTGTGGGATCTTGCTTCACAGCTTCGAATAATTTCTCTAAATCTCCCTGTTGCACAGGTTTCAATTCGGCCCAAAACAGAGGCTTGATAGCCTCCCGAAGCCACCGATAGAGTTCCACAGTCAGGTTTTGTGCCTCCGCGCGGACATTTTTATCGGCATGACCAAAAACCTTGGTCAGCGCCTTCAAAGTTTGCTTCGGGTCGACGATCTTGCAGCCGAAGTTGTGGTAAATGAGGGTCAAGGCTGCGAGAGATGCGGCGACCACCTTGGGTACTTTGTGTGATAGCATGGGTAGTAGTTCCTCGATCACCGCATCGCTCTTGTCCAATTCGACACATAATAGAAGAGCTTCCTGGGCGCTAGCTTTACCGACCGGTCGTGTAGATGGGAGACCTTTCTCAGCAAGTGGGCCAATTGTATATGTGCGGGTCCTGTAAATGGGAATGTTGTCAGTGGATTCAGGGTGGACCAAGAAGACCGTCGTGATTGGGACCGGGGGTTGACGCACCTCGTGCAGGCCTGGGCTCCTCCGAATTTCAAAAAGGCGCAGTATGCGGCAAGACCTTCTGACTGTGCGGCGACGTTGGAATCTGCAACCGCTCCTTTGAACAGGCCGGGATCTTGTATGAATGGCACGAATACCGGGTGTGATTCGTCGGCGGTCTTTTCAAACTGCGCTTTCGCATCCTCGTATCCTTCCTTTCGGACTTTCCAGTTCTGTATATCGGGTATTAGATTTTTCAGGGCTCCTATCAATCGGACTGGGTAAGGGATGAGCGCACCTTATGAGCGAACCGGTCGGCTAAGGGTAAAGAGGAGAAGTCCTCTGTGGCTTCAGCCATTCTGATGGGTGAAGGACGGGACTATCAACGGATTCTAGGAAAGGAAGTCGTCAGCACTTTCTGCAGTGTCGGATACGAAGTGCGCATAGCAACAGAAAGGTTCCGGAGAAAGATATATAAAAGGTACTGAGTTGGTGTTGCGGGTGAGGGGTCTCGGGTGGTGTCTCGGGGGGAGGGTTCAGATGGTCGTACTGTGTTGGGTTGATGCCCAAAGGGTATCAAAGGAAGAGTTGATCTTAGACAATAAGACACTGATGAACTAGAACATGAATTATCCAAGTCAAAAAGTATTAAACTGAGTGTATATTGACAGGGGTGGTTGATAATAGTCGAAACACACGGGGTTTAAAGAAAATAAACAAGTTGAAGTTGAAGGAAAGTAAACAAAAGCCTTGGCGAAGGTTGTTTTGTTTAATTCCTCCTCCTCCTCCTCCCCCCGCGGTGGATCTCAACTTGTTCTTCATATCTTTTCTTCTCTTTGTCTTTTTTGTTCTTCAATTCCTCTACTTCTCTTGGATCAATTCGTCAATTCGTCAATTCTCAATCCCAAATCCCCAACTCCCCTTATTCGCCGACACCGCTCCCACCCACTTCCCCTCCATCGCAGTTTTCCGAACCAATTTGGTGTATGCGCATTTGGATAATTTGGATAAACAGAGAGAGCAGAGAGCACATATAACATCATGAGCCAACTTCTTACGTCACGGCAGGCGGAGGAGCTGTATGTGACCCGATCTGGTTCCATTAGGGGTGATCGCTGATGGTGTTTTGCGACAGACATAAAGGAATAATCGCCTACCTCACCTCTGTGAATTTACACCACAGCTCCGCCGCTTTACGAGAAGAACTAGGCGACTCCATCCGAGTCGACGAGACCACACTTAAGAAATATGAAGGCCTTTTGGAGAAGAAATGGACGAGCGTAGTCCGGTTACAGAAAAAGGTGCGAAGACCGGACAAACCCTGCAAGCCTTACTCTTATTAACCTGCCATTCGGGTACAGATTATGGAATTGGAAGCACGATGCACTTCACTCCAGTCTGAGCTGGACACTGCAACCCCGACTTCTCTGAATCGCAAAAACCAAGACCCAGTCACCTGGCTGCCTCGCGCACCAGCGCGCCACAACCTCGAATCGCACCGCTCGCCAGTATCTTGCCTCGCTTTCCATCCAATATTCTCTTCATTGGCCTCCGGCTCAGATGATACCACAATCAAGATCTGGGACTGGGAGTTGGGTGAACTAGAACGCACAATCAAAGGACACACTAGGGCGGTGTTAGATGTCGACTATGGAGGACCACGTGGAGGAACACTTCTTGCATCATGCTCGTCAGATCTGACGATCAAATTGTGGGACCCGGCTGACGAGTATAAGAACATCCGAACGCTACCAGGGCATGACCACAGTGTTTCAGCAGTTCGGTTCATTCCATCTGGAGCTGCAGGATCTCCCATGTCAGGAAACCTGCTAGTCTCAGCTTCTCGCGATTTGACATTGCGCATATGGGATGTCACAACTGGATATTGTGTCAAATCCATGCAGGGCCATGGAGACTGGATTCGAGATGTTACACCATCCCCAGACGGCCGGTTCCTCTTCTCCGGTGGAGATGACCGAGTTGCACGTCTGTGGGATATCTCATCTGGTGATACTAAGTCAACATTCCTAGGCCACGAGCACTATATCGAGTGTGTGGCCTTCGCTCCACCAACAAGCTACCCTCATTTGGCAGCTATTGCGGGACTAAAGAAGCCACCACCAGCGTCGTCATCCGCCGAGTTTGTGGCTACAGGTTCTCGTGATAAGACCATCCGCATCTGGGATACCCGTGGAAACTGCATCAAGACTCTTGTTGGCCACGACAACTGGGTCCGCTCATTGGTCTTCCATCCCGGTGGGAAATACCTTCTCTCGGTATCTGACGACAAGACACTACGGTGCTGGGATCTCACACAAGAATGCAAGTGTGTGCGCAAGATCGTGGCCCACGACCACTTTATCAGTTCTCTTCGGTGGGCACCACCTTTGGTTAAGGATGCCGGTGCAAATGAGGGTGCGAACGGTGCTGAGGCTGCGTCTAATGGGACGAAGGTAGACCCCAATGCCACAAAGATGTCCATTCGATGTGTCCTGGCGACTGGCAGTGTTGATCTCAAGGTCCGGGTCTTTGCGGCATGACCTTCGATTTGAGTTAGCACCGAGCGAGGAGCAACGGGAAAGAGATTATGTTGGGCAACACCGAAAGCTTGAGAGAAAATAAAAACCCCCATGTCCAATCGATTGGGGGAACACTACGTCTCTCGCCGGGGTCATAACCTCCAAGCTGAAGGGTTCAGGATTTGACAGGCACAGTTTGCCGTTTCTGGGTAAAGGAGTTGGTTATTCTTCCATGATACCAGTGACTTTCTTTCTGTTTACAAATGATTAGGGGATTGGACTAGACAACCTGGTCTAGGCTAACCCCATGTTTACGATGTACACTGTTGGTTGTTTTGTATTTTGATATTGATGAGTGGTTCCTCTCCTTCTTTCTCTTCTCATACATACTTTAGACCTACCTTTAGTTGGAAGATCCATCCCAGGAATACAACATATCACGATGCCAATGAAAATAAATTGAAGCGGTATAATACAGTACATAACCTCCGATATGCAACACCACGGAGGCCAAAGGACAAATCCGACACTTCAAATACTGAAGCCCGTCCCAAAAAGAGCTAAACGTACACATATTCAGTGATGAAAGGCAACAACAGCTCATTTCTCAGCCTCCTTAAGTCTCTCCTGAGTAACCCTCTCACTCTCAGCGACTCTCTCCTGCACAATTCTCTTAACCTTCCCGACGCGCTCATTCTCCGCATGAATGCGATGAATCAACTGCGCAGTAGAAAGCACCTCACCATTAGACACCGGCACACCCGCCTTAGCCGCCTCCTTCACAAGATCCACCTCACGACCCAACCGCCTCGACTCACGACGGAGATACTTCGCCGCCCAGCGCGTCTCACGCTCAGCCTCGCGCTCCTCCTTCGAAGGCACAGCAGGACGGTTTTCAATCGCCTCGCCGAACGGCGTAACGATACGCTCCACCACGTGGTGCACGTTCCGGCTCTTGGGCGCGCCGGACGAGAACTCGATTATGTCGCCGTCCCGGAGGGAGTTCCGTGGGTCGGAGACTAGGTAGTGCGTTTCCTGTGCGTAGAACTTGCGGATGTGGCGGTCCCAGGATGTGTGGCGGTGGCAGACTCGCACTGTGCGGTCCATGCGGCCGACCGAAACGACGGTGCCGGTTTTCAGGGCGGAGGCGTAGTTGCGCAGTCGGGAGGGCGCTTGTGTTTCTGTGCCCGTGTTCTTGGGCTTTGTGGGGGTTGGGGTGGTTGTTGAGGCATTGCGGAGGGGGGTGGTGAGGTATGTGGTTGATTGGAGGATTGAAGGGCGTGTCAGGGACAGAGGTGTCGTGATTGAGGCGCGGAGAGGCATTGTTGCCCGGAGGAGGTGGCTTGGTGCCATTGTTGGGTGGGGGAGCAGGCGGTTGCTCTTCCGATTATAGTTGGATGAGATTGGAGAAGACGAGTGATGGGAAATGGGTAAGCACGCGAATGGTTTGTGGTAATGGTGTCCGCCCAAATGGTTGCGAGCTTGAGGTGTTGGGCGTTGAGGATTTCGAGAATTTCTCGGGGAAGCATGTTTGCACTGTTTGCACTTTAGTATAAGATGTTGACTTGGATGGACCAAAGAGTAACTGGGCAATTTGATAGCAAAACATTCATATTTAAGTACATGAATTCCATGTGCACTTCTTCGTGTTGGGATAATTCTTTGAAGTATCTAATTCCCTTAAGCAGATTTCCCAACTCGGTTCTAACTGCTACCTTGGCCGCATAGATACACAAGGATGCATGTTTTTTGCTTGGAAAATGAATCGCCCTAAAGCTTTTATATAACTAGTAACTTATGAAAATTTCTGGCCTATATATGTTGATTGGAAGAATATCCATGGGTATTGGAGTCTCACATGGATGAAAGGCAGCAATTCCAAGAAGCAAAGGAACCTTGCCCTAAACACTAGAGGAGACGAGTGATCAGAGGAAACAATTAATTCGGGTCGGATCCAGCTATTCTGATATGTTTGATCTATGTTGTAGAAGGGAAACCAAACCCATCCTGTATACAGAAATCAAATTTTAGGGGAAAAAAAGACAAAAGGAGAAACCAATGAGAAACCTCTAAGAAAATACATTTCGCCTCATCCATATTCGTGAAGGCCATCTAAGTTTCATTGAAACACCCGTTCCGATTGCAGAGCACACATGTCTCGGAAGAAACATCAAAGATTATTACGCATTAGGCGTCCTGCGTCGTGGGTGGCATGTCGGTTTCATTTGAAACTGTTTCCGCCAATTTCTTGGATTGGAATTTATCGGCAGAGTGAGCTGATAGCCGGGTGAGTTCGGTGACGAAGGATTGGCCCCAGAATGCACTAGAAAATAGTCAGTTGGAAATGAAATACAGGAGGAGAAACGCCATCGGCAGAGTGACAGGGGTAACATACCTGGTGTACTTGGAAACGTATCTGTCCAATTTGGCAAAATTGAGAGCCCTCTGCTCATCGCTCATGGTCACGGCTTCTTGGTAGGCACCTGCTAGTTCTTCGGTGTTCCAAGGGTTCACAATGATACTGCCGTTCAGACTCTGGGCTGCTCCGGCGAATTCAGAAAGTACCAGCACTCCATGGCGCTTCTGTTGGGTGGCGATGTACTCATAAGCCACTAGGTTCATGCCGTCACGAGTAGACGAGACGATGCAGGCATCTGATACGGCATAGAGAGCGATGAGCTCGTCGAAGTTGACGGACTTGTGCAGGAAATGAATAGGCTGGAACTCAACAGTACCTTGAAAGACGATTAGACTGGTTCAGACCACCAAACTCAGAACACCAAACGAGAATACTTACCGAACTTTCCATTGATCCGACCCACCAGTTCATTCACCACAGCCCTCAGATTCTGATACTCCTCGACATCCTGTCGACTGGGAACGGCAACTTGTACAAGTACGACCTTCCCAACCCATTCTGGGTGGTCACTGAGGAAGACTTCGAGAGCGTGCAACTTCTGAGGCACGCCCTTGATGTAATCAAGACGGTCGACGCCGACCATCAGCTTCACGCCCTGGAACTTCTGCTCTAGCATAGCAATGCGCTTCTGGACCTTCTCCTTCTTCAATCCTTCCTTGAACTTCTCAGGGTCAATACCAATGGGGAAAGCTCCGCATGTGATAATCTTGCCCTGAAATTCAATGCCGTTGGGCGTAGTTGCAAGACCCCTAATCCTATTAGATATGAACTCCAGACCGTGCCAGGGTATACTCACAGTAGACGCGAGCAACTGCTCAGGAAATGGCGCGTGTAATCATAAGTGTGGAAGCCAATCAGGTCGCAATGTAGGACACCCAAGAGCAGTTCATTTCGCACGGGGAGGATGCGGTAGATTTCACTACTAGGGAACGGCGTATGTAAGAAGAACCCGATCTTCACATTCTTCTTGCTATCGCCGATCTCCTCGCGCAGCATCTCAGGGAGCAGCATCAGGTGGTAGTCATGAACCCAGATCAGGTCACCATCCTGTACTTCCTTCGCGATCGCCTGTGCGAAAAGACGGTTCGCTTCCTTGTAAGCTTCCCAGGCGGACTCGTCGAAGGTGATCTCGCCGGGGTGGTAATGGAACAGAGGCCAGAGGATGGAGTCTATCCGAAAGAACAAAGTATCAGTGTACATTCCAAGGGCTTTGCGGAGAGATGCAACTGACTGGAGAACCCATTGTAGTGTCGATCCGCTAGGTCATCATCGATAAAGACTGGTACAGCGCCGTACTCTTCCTTGAGGCGCTGCTTCACGACAGGGATCTCGGGCTCGGGAACCTCCAGACCGGGCCAGCCGTACCACTGGAAGGTGGTTGATTTTGAGAGTCCACTCAGACCACTGACCAGACCTCCTGAAGACATGGAGAAATCATATTTCCCATCATCAGACCGCTTGATTGTGATCGGCAAGCGGTTCGAGACCAGAAGCAGACGAGCTTCATTCTTGGGCTCGATGGAAGGCATGGTGATGGACCAGATGCCGGACGGAAATGGAGGACAGGGTTATAGGAATCGGGATAAGAGGTAAAAGTGTAGGCAAGGCAAGCTGGGCTCCTGTAGTTCCGGTAGAACATGCGATTAGAGTCGATTTCGTAGGCGGGGAAACCCTTGGAGATCATGACGAATATGAACCAACCTTTTGACACAAGTGGATATTTTCACTCCGAATGAGCACCAGACTAGCAATCTGTCTACATAAGCAGATAGCTGTTAGTAGTAATACCAAACAAGAAGGTCGAGTGTGAAGAGTAGGAAAAAAAAAAGGTGAAGAGAGAGAGTAAAGCGGGGGACCGGGATGCGAACGTCACTCTTGGTCTTGGAACTACGTGTGGGCCTCAATATCGCTCACATGGGGGGAACTGTAGATATATAGATATAAGAAAGGAAAAGATCTTTCTTTTTATATTTTCAGGTTTGGGATTCGAATGAGAAATATTTCCAGATATTTCTTTTTCAGTAAACACAGGTTTTAATGGTCATTCCGACTCCGCATTGGGTTGGATCGTACTGCATGGCTTTGCCCAGCCAGTTAGAAAAGGTGAGTGACCAAGTGCTGACGTCGAATATAACGAATATTATCATCTGTTCAGGCATCTTTTTAGGCACTATTCCTATGTATACCCAAAGATCTATACAACTCACAAAGCCGACCTCTCACTCACAAGACTCCATTTCCCAGACTCCGAATCATGAACCGTCCTTCCCTCATCCTCAAGCTTTATAAGTACCTGCAACACACCATGCGAAGCCGGTACATGTAAAGACTCGGGAACACCAACGTAAATGCACTTAACCAACTCAATAGGTGTCCACGCCTGCTTGCCTTCCGGCGAGGTCTCGTCAGCCGCGACATCAAGCTTGCCAAACCGCAGAACACGCAGGACCTCGTCTTCCCGCTGCTGTCGGTGCTTGATGTACTCGGTGATCCGCGCGCCAGCGTTCTCAATCACCGCCCCGTGTCCGGGGTATCCCCGGCCTGAGGAGACGCGGTCGCGCATCCGGTGGAGACTGTTGAGGTAGGTTTTGAGGGTTTCGAAGACGGCTGTGCCGTGGCCTAGGACGTCTGTAGATTTTTGGTTAGATATGGCCCTATGGATATTTGTATATCATGTTCCATCGGTAGAAGGGAAGGGAAGGGTGATGATTATAAGAACTGTTGCACTTACTATCACCAGTAAACATAGCATTCTCCTCCTCAAGCAAAAACACCATATGATCAACGGTATGTCCAGGTGTATGGAATGCTGTCAAGGTAGCACCTTCAACGGAGAACACCTGACCCTCGTGGATATCCGCCTGATCGGAATCAGGCTGGTGTTTGAAGATCTGAGCTTGGGGACATAGTTTGAGTAGATCTGGCAACCCGCTGACATGGTCGCCGTGCCAGTGTGTCAGGAGTGCCTGGTGTACTGTTGCTTTTTCTGCCGAGAGCACGGATTGAAGGTTTGCTGCCCATGAGGGCTTGCCTTCGCCTGTGTCTATTAAGATTCGCTGGTGGCCGCGACCAATTAAGTATGTATTTGTGCCTGGGTATGTGGTTAGGATGTGTGTTGTGAGCTGAGATGGAGTGTGGTTCTTACCTTGGAGTGTGAACTGTGTAGGGTTGTGTGCTATTGATCAGCTTGCCATTTTCTAGTGACATCATGGTACCTATCTAACTCACCTTCCCCGGATTTCCGCCTAGAATTCTCACAACTGAGGCGCTGAGGCGCTCCACTTCTGGGAGTTGAACAAGCTGGGTTGCCATACTTGGAGATGGGAGGGGATATTAGATGGGAGGCAGGATATCCTCAACAACTGGCCTTTAATATCTGGGGCCTGAAGTGCAAATCAGTGGTCAACTGATGGTTGACTTATCATTCAAGATTCTCTAGCCTTGTTTGGTGCGATAGATGGGTTGTAATGAGATATAGGGTTAAACTTGAGAATATATCGAAGCGCTAAACTTGCCGAACCCTATGACGAAATAAGATGATCTGAAGGCGTCCAAGTCAATCTTATACTGAACTCCAATTAACGCGGGGCAGAAATTGTGCCTCGGTAAGCTTATCTCAGCGTTTGATGTGTCCGAGGTGCCATCGGTATTTCTGAGAGAATTAGGCTGAACATGTTTGAACATACTTTGTATACAAATTTACAACTTACAAAAGGAACAAATTGAAAACAAACAAGGAATTGTGTATGTATGCCATTCCTAACATACAAAAGGAACAAATTGAAAACAAACAAGGAATTGTGTATGTATGCCATTCCTAACATACAAAAATAGTGAGATAAAAATCAAAAAGAGTATATCCATTGAGCCCACCCTAGATATCGGGAATCAACGCAAGGCCGAGAAACCAGGCCTACAAAAACACAAATTCATTCATAATTTTCCCAGAGCGCAACTCCTCGTATCTGCTAACGAAAGGGGCATGGGCAATCGACAACCAATCCAATGGCTGCCATGTCATACCGTGGTTTTCCAGAAGCATGTATCTGAATTGTTCAACACACAAGAGAACGTAGTTTACACAGGCGTCTCGGTCATAACCGAAAACACTTGAAGGTTTTATTGTTGGGGAGTCATGACAGAAGGAAGGCAGTTTAAGCCTTGCGGGCCATGGTGTTGAGGGCGGAGCCATCGTGGAACCACTCGATCTGGGACTCGTTGAAAGTGTGGCTGAGGGAGACGTCGTAGGCGGCGCCACCGGCCTGGGGGTGGACACGGAGGGTCATGGGCTTGCCAACCTGGAGCTCAGTGCACAGGAGGTCGACCTTGTCCTCGGGCTTGATCTTGTCGTAGTCGGCAGGATCGGTGAAGGTCAGAGGAAGCATACCCTGCTTCTTCAAGTTGGTCTCGTGGATACGAGCGAAGGAGCGGGTGATGATGGCGAGACCACCGAGGTGACGGGGCTCGAGAGCGGCGTGCTCACGGGAAGAGCCCTCACCGTAGTTCCAGTCACCGATGACAACCCACTTGACACCACGAGCCTTGTAGTCACGGGCAGTAGCGGGGACGGCATCGTACTCCTTGGTGAAGTAGTTCTTGACCTTGTTGGCCTCACCGTTCTCCTCGTTGGTGGCACCGATCAACATGTTGTTGGAGATGTTGTCCAAGTGGCCACGGTACTTCAACCAAGGGCCAGCCATGGAGATGTGGTCAGTAGTGGTCTTGCCCTTGCACTTGATCAGAATGGGGATGTCGGTGGCATCCTTGCCATCCCAAGCCTGGAAGCCAGCGAGGATCTGGAGACGATCGGAAGTGGGGGAGACAGCAACGTTGACGGAGGAACGATCGGCGGGAGGAGCCTGGTAGGTGTCACGGCCGGCATCGTAGCCGCGAGTGGGAAGGCCGTCACCGGAGGGAGCCTTGAGCTTGAACTCCTTGCCATCCTTGCCCTTAAGGGAGTCGGTGATGGGGTTGAAGTTGAGAGTACCGGCAACGGTCATGGCGACGACCAGGTCGGGGGAGGCAACGAACGCGTGGGTGGCGGGGTTGGCGTCGTTACGGCCAGTGAAGTTACGGTTGTAGGAAGAGATGATGGAGTTGGCCTCACCCTTCTTCACATCCTTGCGGTCCCACTGACCAATGCAAGGTCCACAGGCGTTGGCAAGGATGACACCGCCGTACTCCTCGAGGGTCTGGAGCTGACCGTCACGCTCGATAGTAGCGCGAATCTGCTCGGAACCAGGGGTGACGGTGAACAGAGACTTGGACTTGAGACCGTGGTCAAGAGCGTCACGGGCGATGGAAGCAGCACGGGACATATCCTCGTAGGAGGAGTTGGTGCAAGAGCCGATCAGACCGACCTTGAGCTCCTCGGGCCACTTGTTGGTCTTGACAGCCTCCTTGAACTGGGAGATGGGAGTGGCAAGATCGGGAGTGAAGGGACCGTTAACGTGGGGCTCGAGCTCATCGAGGTTGATCTCAACGAGCTGATCGTACTGAGCACCCTCATCCTCACGGAGGGAAGCAGCGTACTCGCGAGAGAAGTCACCAATGTGCTGGCGCTTGGTGGCCTTCAGGTAGTCGTACATACGGTCGTTGAAGGGGAAGATAGAGGTGGTAGCACCAATCTCGGCACCCATGTTACAGATGGTACCCATACCAGTGCAAGACAGGGACTCAACACCGGGACCGTGGTACTCGATGATGGCACCGGTACCACCCTTGACGGTGAGGAGACCGGCGACCTTAAGGATGATATCCTTGGGGGTGGTCCAGCCGGACATCTTACCGGTGAGGCGGACACCAATGACGTTAGGGGCCTTCAGCTCCCAAGGGAGACCAGCCATAACATCGACGGCATCGGCACCACCGACACCAATAGCGGCGGAAGCGAGACCACCAGCGTTGGGGGTGTGGGAGTCAGTACCGATGATCAGAGCACCGGGGAAAGCGTAGTTCTCAAGGACGATCTGGTGGATGATACCGGAACCGGGCTTCCAGAAACCGATGTTGTACTTGGCGGTAGAGGAGGCAAGGAAGTCGTAGACCTCCTTGTTGATGTCGTTGGCACGAGCAAGATCCTTCTCACCTCCAACCTGGGCCTCAATCAAGTGGTCACAGTGGACGGTGGTGGGGGTCTGGACACGGTCCATGCCAGCGGACATGAACTGAAGAATGGCCATCTGGGCGGTAGCATCCTGGCAAGCAACGCGGTCGGGGCGCAGCTTGAGGTAAGAGACACCACGCTGGATGTCCTGGCCGTGGGGGTCGTCAAGGTGAGAGTACAGGACCTTCTCGGAGAAAGTGAGAGGACGCTGCAGACGAGAACGGACAACGTCGAGGTTCTCGGACATCTTCTTGTAGTTGATGTAGTGACCCTGAAATGTAATACGTTAGTCGCTATTGCTTGGAATCGTACTCCACGCCCAGTTCTTGGGCGCTAAGCTGGCAGCCACTCACAGTTTCCTGGTTGGTCATCTCGACCTTCTTGTCGAGGGGGTTAATGGCGGTGGCGAAGGCCCGGGTTCCAGTCGCCTATAAATTGGAAAGTTAGTAACTGCATGTTCAAGCTATGTCTGAGCTATCATGCACGCCGGCATATGTGCCATGCCACGTGTAGTTGAAGCTTGGCAATGAGGTCGCTGCTTACAAGACGGAACTTGGGGGCCTAGAGTCGAAACATAAGTTAGTTTTCCATTCATCAACAGCCAGACTGGCAGTCAGACAGATCGCCATATCGTGGCAATATTGAGCCGAGGGAGAAAGACGTACCAGCGCACCAGCGCGCGCGAGGCGGGTGGAGATCATGATGGAAGCTCTATGAGATGGGATTGCACATCCAAGAGCGAGTTACCACCTTCACCGAAATATGAGAGTGGAGAGTAGAATGAAGGAGGAAGAGATCAAAAAGGAAGAAGAGGATGAAAGCTTGGTTTTGAGTGGGAGAAAGATTCTACGGGGACCGGGAGTAAAGCCGTAACCGCTGTTACCACGGCGATACAATACACTGGTATTGGACTAAGCTTGCCGCATGCGACGGCAAGAAGGGCTGGGCAATTTGATAGATGCTGCTTATGGCAGAGAATTCTTAGGATTTCCTCAAGATTTACTATGATCAGTGATGATCTGTACAAGGGATATACACCCGATTGTTTTTCTATCCTTATTCTCTTCCCATGTGAAGTCTACAATATTCAACATCTGTGGCCATTGTGTTCACCTTAGGATGTACCGGGAACGTAATACTGATACAAGGCATGTGACGGGTATAATTCGGCCACCAATCACGGAGTTTCCAATTACAAGGCCCCCTTCGCCCAGTTCTCCCTATTTCGGACCAAAGGGTTACCTTTTGGAAGGTCAGTGTGTTCTCACTTGGGCATGTAACTCTCTCGGCTTGTACCCCGTACTACCGGGAAAGGATAGCTTGACGCATGTGGATTTGATGGGTTTCATAGGTATGAATCTGGCCAATGATCAACATGTGTTTACTACTGTGTACTCCCTTACGATGTAATGCTCTATTTGTAGAGTGCTTTCCGAATAATATTTCTATTAGCATATTTAGAGCTCTATACAAGTATATTTGACTATGTAGTTATTACTATGTCACTATATAACTACGAAGTACATACATAACCGCATGCAAACGTCATTAAATACACAGCTGTACGGTGACGAAATCCAACTGAACCGAGGTGAGCCGAATGGCAATCCCGCATCGCCGCCAAGGTGCCGTGTCTGGCAACCAACCAATCATAGCTCGGGCATTTCAATCGCTGCCCGTGACCCACAATCGGCGGAAATTTCACCTCGCTATTGTCCAAAGCCTCTTTGACCCGCTTTCCTCACTGTTCACTCCGGAAATCGGTGATAATCAATTTTCATTTCCTTGCATCTATTTTGATACCATTGTTCGGCTCCAGCTCCGAGGTATTTCGGCTATCAGTTACAATGGGTGCTCTCAGGAAAGTCAAGAACAAGCGCCGCACTAGGTATGTCTACCCTAGGGGTTTTACATTGACCTGTACCCATCGCTGGCGCTGGTGCTGATTGCTAACCTAACCTAATAACAGAGACTACGACCAAGTCGTCGCGGATATCAAAACTACCGGTCACCTGCAGAAGTACAAGGACTCGAAAGACCCGGAGGATCTGCCTGGTCTGGGCAGGTTCTACTGCACAGAATGCTCCAAATGGTTTGAGAGTGACTACAACCTCAAGGCGCACGCCAAGGGCAAGAACCACAAGCGGAGGTGAGTTTACTCCGATACCATATCTTCTGTCGCATCGCTGACCATTTACGCTTTTTTAGACTTCGTATCCTGCGCGATGAGCCTCACAGCCAATTGCTCGCCGAACGTGCCATCGGACTGGGTTTCGTCGACAACGGCAAGCGCGAAGAGAACCTCGACGAGATGAAGGAGTGAATCGAAGCTTGAGCTTCGCCTTCTGGAATAAAAATCAAACCTTTGCTACGCGACCACGATCCTCTTTCCAGCAAATCGACATACAAAAGTTTCTGGGACAATACATCTAGACCTGTTTTGATGTTGACTTTCCATTCCGTTCATGCATATCGGTGGAGTCTCACGTGAAGCAATTTTTTTTATATTGCCGATACTCGCCGGGGTTTCGCTCTTCCGTTTTGCGGGTACCTCAAAACCGCCGACCATCGGCGGAAACGGCATCTGGGGCGAAATTTACCCCCTTACTAGCAATACTACCGAGTAATTCCAATAGAAATCCCTCAATACCAAATAGAATCTAACCTAAATCGGCTTTCGGTAACTGTGTACTCCGTAGCTTGGATGGCAATGTTTTGATATGGTTTCGGTCTTCTATGTTGTATGTTCCAAGTTGATGGCCTCCTAGGTTGGACATATTTACAGACCCGCTATGGGCTCTTGGGTTTTCACTTGTGCGCCCCAGGAAGGATTAAAGCTCTTCATTAACCATTCATATGCCGCCCACTATATCAAAAGTTAGTTGTTTAATTGATTGTGATAACAAGATGGAGAAAACATACCTGAACAGCATTCACAATGAATGCCCTGACACTGCAGACTCCAAGACCACGATAGAATGCCTTAATACCCTCGGCACGATATGTCTCTTTCGCAATTTGGAAAGAATTCAGCGTCTGGCGCTGTGGTCGTAGTAAAGACGAACTCTCAATTGTCCTGGGTAAATGATCTGCAATTGTCTGTGCCTGCAGTCGAGTCTTGATCACATCCAAAGGAAACACGGAACCCCAAGTAACAACGCCAGCAATGCCACCGCAAAGCAGAATCTTCAAAGCTGCCTGATGTGAACCGTCATCATTAGAGGTCATAAATCGTTTGCAAAGTTCGTAAGACCAGAAACTGCGATATGGGTCAGCGCTAAATCCCTCAATTGATACACTGGGGTATCCGGGGGTGGCGTGTTAGGTCCATACTAGAATCCATAGCCAATTGAATCTCTGGCGCTAGTAATCCCGCCCCCAAAGTAAAGACCCCTCCAACCGCGCGTTCGGAAGATATCTTTGGCCACCGCCCACGAGGAGACTTCAGGTCGGCGATCCAGCTGTGCTCGACACTTGATGAACTCCGTTGGGGATGAGATGGACCAGCTGGCCAGTCCGCCTGCGGCACCGGCCAGCCAAATATTGTAAGCCGACACCCCCACAGGATTGGTGGGATCCTTTACGGACCCGTCCAATGCTGTTAAGGATCGGTTGTAAGCGACAAAAAGAATGGCATTGAGAGCTCCATAGCCTAGGATCGGAGCAGCCGCGCCTATAAAGATAGTCAATTAATCGCTATAGGTAATATTGAAACGGTGTAACACGGACCTCGCACAAGAGTGCTTGCTCTTTCAAAGCGGCTCAATTGTGCCGACGACACATCTGCATGTGCGTTCCCCGCCTGTAGCTGGACTTTGATGACATCCAGAGGATTGCCAATTATGATCCCAATGGCTCCGCTGATGTAGCCAGCCCAGAAGTCTGCGGCCATGAGGTCTTAGTTTCAAAGTCTAGATTGAAGATAATTGACACAAGCGCCAATAATTTGTCGTTCCCCAGATTTCCGTAGTGGGGTGACCCCTCACGTGCCGAGGCGAGATTATAGCCGGTAAAGGGCACCCCCGGGGCGGCCCGGGGGCAGATGGGCCTTCCAAGGTTATTCTGTAGTTTCTAGATGCTCTATGGAAGCTGAAAGCTTGCATGTGGAGATTATGTCGCTGGGATAAAGAGTGTGTCCGTGACCCTTCTCATTGTACGGACGACTTCATGTGATAAATGATGTCCAGTGTCACTCCTATCGCCATTTCATCCTTGCATAGTTATTATTTACATTTATCAACTTAGGTCTCCCTCTTAATAAAACCCCCTGACTCATACGCCTCTTCCATAAACTTGCCCCTATCTAGTAGGTCTTGATGGTGTCGGTAGTTCGTCGCCTTCTGGTTGAGCTCCCAAATTGCAATATAGCTCCTTCCTAAAAAGAAAATCGCGATGCTTCTCAATTGGCTCACTCGCTTCGCTGTTGTATAGTCTTTGTCATATAATTTCTATACTTACAAGAAATCCACCGTCTACCGAGTATTGGCATCCGATACAGCGCCCTGGACCCGTTTGTAGGATCCTATCGAAAGGACGAATCGTGCCTTATGAGCTTTAGTATACCGTGGCAGCTTTACATATGATAGCGCTTATGTCCACGTGTTTAACTCATGAGTGTTGTAAATAAAAATATACATCATCTCTCAAGGCAAATACGGGGTCTAAAATCAAAGCAAGTAATTTCTTCTATCTCTAATCAGATCACCTGCCGGAGTCTACTTCTTAGTCATGAGGCTTATTGAGGCTTTACCGAATTAGGAAGTTTGGACGCCACGATGGGAGCCTAGCGCTAAGCGAAATATGTCGCCTTTCGACTCATCAATTTGCGAATCCTACCTGTGACTACGCCTATATGTCACGCCTTCTCAATCTGCCCAGCGAACTGCTCGCTCGCACTTTTTTAATGTGGATCGTTCATCATTAAAGTCGCTGCGCCAATCCTGCCGTTTCATATCACAGCTGTCCACCGATCAGCTCTTCAGGACCGTGCACCTGCAGCCCAGCGAGACAAGCCAAAATGCGTTACAAGAGATTTTGAACAATCCCAGTCTACGTCGGATTCCGCGAAAAATCTACATAGACACCGTGGACGAGAGTCTTGTACGATTATCTTAATCCAGCTCCAAGCAACAACTAATGCGCACAGAATTATGATGAAGAAGAAGAGCAAATATGGCCCCAAGGCTGGGACAATCTTGTTCCGCAAGGGAAAGAATTGCCTCGGCTGAACGCCGCCGTTCTGTGCTTCGATAAGGGGTTTACTTCAGACAGCAGGGATCTCCATTATACTGACTTTCCCCAGACGCCTCAATTTCGCTTCCACGCAATGCATGAGCTCTTCTCTCTTCTCGAATCCCTACGGCACCCAATCCAAGATCTTGGTATTCGCAACCTGCAAGCGGATAACCCCAAAGACCCGAAAACACTTGCGAAAATGGGAAAGGTCCTGTTGGGCCTACTGTCCCTTCGCCTAAGCATTGCCAGCGAGACAAATGACGCCGCTCCTGAGCATGATCTCGAGGTATAACCCACCCCATCCTCCATCGAGATGCTTTTTCTAAACATATCAGTATCCGGAAATCCGCAAGTTTTTCAAGGAGTTGCCCAGCACATGGCTGAGTCCCGCTGCGCCTTCTCTCCAACATCTCTCGCTCTGCTCGCGTGAATACTCGGGCTTTTACCCTCACCTGGATCTCTCCAATCTGTTCTTTCCACGCCTGAAGACGCTATCACTAGGAAACTTCTGTTTCTTTTATGATGGCCAAATCGACTGGATTCTGAAGCATGGCGACACCCTCGAGGAAATATACTTCGATGACTGCGCCATCCTCTACGACTTTTGTATGATGGAAGAGAATGTGGACGCCTGTGCTCTACCTAGGGACACTTTGGTGCGCCGCGAGGGCGGTGAGTCTTTGTATGGTTCGTTCGAGAAGCGATGGCACCATATTTTCGATCTATTTGCAGAGAAACTGCCAAAACTGCGCCACTTTCGAATCGGCCGTAGTAATTGGTACCCGGATATTCCATTTGAGCAGGAGAGGGATATCAAGGTCGGACTGTATTATAATCGGTACATGTGCTGCTATGATGGATATGGCCCATCGCCTTATATGGAAGGTGAGGATCCCAAAGAACTCGCAAACCTTGAGTGGAGACCATCACCAGAATGTGACGATGAGGATCGCGCGGCACTGCGGAAACTATTGGCAAAGCTTGGGCAATCGGTCCAGGAAAGTTATTCGAATAGACACTGTGGTGGCCGTATAGTGGATCTTGTTCAGAGGAGATACGGATCCGCAGAGTGATATAGTATCTATGGATTGCAATCACTTGGGTGAAAGAGCCTCCACCTAGGCAGGGCTTCCAAGGTTGGAAATTATGCAGACGGTTTCTAAGTCGGCTGGGGGTTAATGACCGCCCAACATTTAAAATGATGTTACATATGAGAAAGCAGGAATATATACCTCCAGGGCTATCTACACAATATCCTTCATCCTTCAAATGCTGGTGAATCGACACCTAGGACTAGACAGACCACCTGGTTATCCTCTGGCACCATGATTGATTGGAGCTTTCGAAGCTGGAGGTAAAGAGATCGATTTTAAAGCGTTTGTTGGAGACATAAACATTCAACTGTGTGTCTGTGTTTCCGGTGCTTGATTTAAATGGACCGATCTCATAGATGGGTTGCTTCCGTGACATTGTTGGGAGTAAGAAACTGGCAGGTTGGGGAGCCCCTTGCCACCGTGAAATCTTGGGCGAAGGCTCGACTTCCTATATTACACGCGTAGCGCCAGGTATTATCATCAAATATCTACGATTCTCTTAGTGGAATTCTAAGACTGTGACAGATAAATGGTTCGTTCAAGATATAAAGCGGGGTTTTGAGGTACAAGAATGACTTCTGTAAATCCTAGGACTATATCTAAGAATAATAGAGTCCTTAGCTCCTGACTTCTTATAGGTAGTGATTAACTTCTTCCTACCTAGGTAGGTTTAAGGGCGTCTTAGATGATCCATTTGGATTGTTATTTGTCGAAGTAAGTGATGGAAATCTATAGAATTATATCGACTAGCATTGATATATCTCTCCGATTCAAATAGCGTATATAAGCCGCGGAGGTGATCTAATTCATTTATCGGAAAGGTATGATATACTCTGATCTTCGCTTTCCGATATAATATACTCTAATCTTCGACCTAAGAACTTTTTATTATATACTATCGCCGGAAACGAGCTCTATCTTCTACTCTATAACTTTAGGGGGTCGATAAATAGAGAAATAGATAGCCTATATCTCCCCGATGCTAGATTTTTTTAATCCTTAATATCCGCCGGAATCGACGAAAAGCACGGATATTTTTTAGTCTCGGGTCTATCTACTATACGATAATGACTGGCTATTAGACCTATAGGTCCCTAGGTCCATTTAAGTCTCTAGAGGAGATAGAGAAATACTAAGAACTAGTTGATGATCTATTTGCCTCTAAAAGGTACCTACCGGTTGACGGGCTGGTAGCTGGGCCTATGATACAACGATGCTGGACAGAAGAATACTCTGATCTGGGGGAACTCACTGAAGACCAGAGTTGGCAGTTTGAGAATGACGCAATTTCAATACACTCGTAAAGCATGTGATTATACTGAGCCGAATAAAATACTATCTGAACTAGCGTGTCATAATCAATTCTCTTTCAATGCCGCCTCGAGATGGATGCGATTCAATGTATGGAGTAATTAATTACAGCTTGATGATTAGGGCTTACATCTTACCAAGGCTTCCAAGGTTCTTCGTCCTCCCATGTCTTTCCTCCTCTTCATTTTTGTTTAATTATAGCATTTGTCAGGATAAAATTGCATTTGTCAGTTCTAATTGCAATTGAAATCACATTTGTCAGCGCAGCCATAAGCATGGGGGCTATTAGAAATGCAGCTAGAAAGGTGATCTCTATGTATATATAGAGTTGACATATTTAGGCCACCTTTTATCCTATCCTAACATCGCACTCCAAATCCATCAACAACTCCACCATTTTCATCATGACGAACACTGTCTATCTCATTACTGGCGCTAGCCGTGGAATTGGTCGTGGTCTAGTTGAGACATTCCTCGCTCGCTCCAACACTACCGTCATCGCGGCCGTCCGTGACCTCGCTAGTGCCCCCTCCCAGTCACTGCAATCCCTCTCTAAGGGAGAATTTTCTCGCCTTATAGTGGTGAAAATTGACTCAAAGTCCCCCACCGACCCAGCTGCTGCTGTCAAGACCCTCCAGACAGAGCACAGCATTGACCACATAGATGTGGTGATCGCTAACGCCGGCATTAGCGAGGACTTCTCGCCCGTGCACGAGGTTTCCATTCCCGTGATTCAACAGCACGTTGAGGTCAATGCCTATGGTCCCATTTACCTCTACCAGGCGGTGTACACACTGCTTAAGAAGAGCACGAAGCCCACCTTTGTGGGAGTCGGCAGTCCTCTAGGTAGCATCGCGGGTATGGAGCAGCGCCCATTCCCAAATGCTGCGTATGGACCTAGCAAGGCTATGTTACACTGGATTGTGCGCAAGATTCATTTCGAGAATGAGGACTTTGTGAGCTTCGTTTCTGATCCTGGGTAAGTGCCTGCTCCTGTCCAATGGTCTTTATGTCGCAAACATATTAACGAGTTTGTAGATTCGTCCAAACTGATATGGGCAATGCCGGTGCCAAAGCTGTCGGGATGGAGAAGGCCTTCCAGACGGTCGAAGAGAGCACCGGCGGTATTGTGAAGACGATTGATGAGGGGACGAGGGAGTCGGTTGGTGGACAGCTGCGCGTGTGGGATGGAACAGAGTTCCCATGGTAAATGGAGTCATCTTCGTGTGACCTTTTAGTTGCTCTCTGAGTTCAACGTGGGATAGTCCATTTTTGGTCATGAGATATTGGTCGAGACATTGTGCCGGAGAGCCATTTATAAACTAAGGCTGGCATATCCGCCGTTGTCCTCCCGGCCTGGGAATAGACCGAACATTGAATACGTCAATGGAAAGGTCATTCAACTGTTGACACTCGATCTCACCTGCTCACCACAAACTACTCAATTCTATGCGAGAATAAGTCACAGATGAAGCATTGAAACAAACTATTGCATAAAGCATCTCATAATGATAGTCTGAAAGTGTATTTCTGATACATAGATGGTTATACACTAATTTGAAAACATTGAAGTTTTACCGTGACGTTATTGTGACTGCCACCTATTCGAAGCGTGGAGGTGCAGATATTTTGATTCCCAATGTTGATATCAACTGACGCCGAAAATAGTCATCTCGCGAGAGCTACCTTAGGTGTATGTCACTCTCTCTTACAGACCATAAATTCTTCTCCTTAGTGACCGCTTTAACAATGTCTGAGGGATGTTATTATCTTCTATCTTGTTTCGAATGCCTCCCCGGGTATAATGCTGTTCTGGGCTTTCTTCGGCAACCTGCTCTGTGGTGGCCTGTCCCATCGAAAGCAGTATTGCCCCTTCTGTAGTGCAATGCGTTTCGTACGCAGACCAGTTCTCCACTTAGGTTCTCCTTCTTCTGTGGAACCCATCTCAAAAGGCACGTCGTAGTCTGGAGGGGTTGGGAGATCTGGCCATGTGATCCGATTGGGCGCATTGAGGTATCTCTCTATGGCTCTGTCGGTTCTCGTTGCCACCCATTCATTCAAAAAATTGCGGAACTTTGACACGTCAGAGTCTAGTTCGCCGTGACAAGCCCATTCGATAGACTGCACCATGTCTATGTTCCGGTCCCAGTGAGGAATGCTCGTAAAATGCGTATCGTTCGTGACGATCTCGTGTAATGTGAAGACAACACCGGACACATCGTCTCGACCATCCATTAGATCTTCCTTCCCATTGGCGGCCCAATCAAAATCGAAGAGAATAATATCGTCTGTTTCAGGGTCGACAAGTAAATTCCGTGGTGCAATGTCTTGATGCATGATCCCTAATTCTAGGTTTAGGAAATCCACTAGCCGAGTAAGCTGCCTTAGCCATTCAAATCGGAAAGGCCTTTTCGGATTGGCATCTGCTAGCGTTCCACCTGGGATGTACTTTGTTGTGAATCCGATCACCCGAGACTGCTCATCCTCGAGAACAATGCGGTCAAACGGTATTATATTAGGATGTGGTGGCAGCTTGCTAAGTAGGTTCATCTCCTTCCAGGACATCTGTAGTCTTCGAATCATGGCTAAAGGGTTGAATTTGAATGCGACCCTCTGACTATCGTACGATGATAGGTTGACGCCTGGTCCAAGTCGATCGAGTTCTTGAAGTTGAGAGACATAGACGGTAGAGCAATGCACGAGTGATTGACAGAGTGAGAAGGGGATATATCCAATAAAGAGCGTATCATCTTCTTCCGGGTCTGTCGAGACTCCAGTGAGAAGCCCGTCATCGTTGACTGTGATTGCACGAACCTCTGGCGAAAGATAATCGGCAAATTGTGCAAGAACTAAGGTTTCAACATCTTCTCCAGGTGGAAAAAGCTTAGCAGTTCCTTTGACTTTGATCCATCGCAGCTGATCCCAATCCCAGACGTCGCAGTGGGTTTGGGTTATAGGGTTTTCCCTCGGTCCAAAATAGCCCTGGCCCTGCGAGAAGAATCTGTCGTCGGGATCGATCATGGCAAAAAAATCTCGTGTGCTGTTGGTGTGGTCAGTCTGAGCCGTGGCTGCCTTATGAAGGGGGTTTTTAATATTCCACAGGAACTCTCGAATGCGGTGTAAATAGGCAGAACACGTTCGATACCTGGAACCGATGGAAAAGAGATGGAAACCCACAGTGGTGATGAAAACTGTGGGTGGATGTTAGATGATCCAAATCCAGAGAGGTGTAAGGTGTAAGAAAACTCTGGGTGGGGTTGTTGATAGCAAACAAACAAATCCCCCCAATACCATCTGATAGTGGTATTCATCCCAAAGGTGGCGAGCATAATTCCCTGAATCTTTGGTGTGACTGTCGCCTGGCAAAATATCTGCAGAGTCCCCTACCTAGGAGATACTGCTAAAAGTCTGCCTGTCACCCTGGAAGATCGTAGCCACGTGGCTTTCGAATTGAAGCTATTCACAGATCCTAAGAAGGAAATTCTCGAGACTTGGCGAGATGCGAACATCAGCTTGTTTTTAATGGGTTGTGCTAGGCGAGACACAACCCCTGTACGTCGTCAAACGGATGACTTTTTGTACAGCAGAAACCGAGGATATTAATCGATCGCGAGATCAAATCAACAACGAACTCACTGGGCTCATAACCTGTTGAGATCTACAAGCAAGTAGATGAGATTATGAAAGACCATGAGAGATAACAACACCAAACAACCGAATGGTTGTTTGGGGCGCGAAGGTTCATCATCCGCAGGTCCGAGGAATAGGGTATGTATCCGTGCCCAGTCAATGATATTAAATTACCGCTTACTATCTTTATTAGGAATGCGCCCAGACTTACTATCCTTCGCCAGGACGGCTGCTTTGTTGAGAAGATAAGCACAAACCAAACCTTGGAAGCCCCTTGATAAGCTCGGCCTGCAGCGTAGGGTAATTGAGCACGAGTGGGGACATAAGTGTCTCTCGTATCCTATTCATCTGTTGAATTAGTGCTGATTACCGCATTAGGAACATAAGCGGTCCGAGTGGGGCTACGATTTAGTTTTAGCAAATATACCTCAGCTGGTCAAGGCCCGTCTAATTCAAATGGTATGATGTGTATTTTAAATCTCACAGAGTTTTAAATATGGAGAACTATGAAATGAGCGTCTCCTATTGAAAGGAGCCCAAATTGAGCGTGCACTGGGCAGATAGCCTGGATTAATGGATTGGAAACAAGAATGTAGCATTTCACTATATCTGCCAACTGTTTTGCCTGTTACTTCAATTTAAACTTTTGTAAGATAAAAAGAAAACCACTCTTTGAAGGCAGATACTTTAGTTTATTCTAATTGATGCACTTATATCCTTCGGAGCTACATGAGATCGTGCACCTCCATGCCCGGTCTCGGGTGAGGGCTTGGCTATTTCATGGTAGGACGTCAGGAGTACTCAATCTCCTTTTGCTCAGATATAAGAAGTCGAGGAGACGGCCTCTGAAGCTCCATTTCCTTTCCCACAACTTACTTCCCTTGTCAGTCGACTCGTTAGCCTGCTGCAGTGCGCCAAACATCCACTAACTTCTCCATCACTGCATATCTAAACTCTTGTTATCATGTCTGACCTTGAGAAAATAGAGGCAAGCGTGTCACACCAGCGTGATGCCCCGAAGAAGGAGTTTGACTCTTGGTCCGCAATTGCTCTAGGTGCTATCACCACCAACAGTGCCATTGGCATCCTCCTAACTTTTGCGAACACTGTTACCTATGGCGGGTCTCCACTGCTGTTATACGGCTACCCAGTTGTCTCAATTATCTCTCTTGGGGCTGCAACCAGTCTTGGCGAGTTGACATCAGCTTATCCCGATGCTGGCGGTCAATATATCTGGGTGGCTCGGCTTGCCCCCGAAAGATATACCGATTCTTCTCCTACATAACGGCAATATTCAGCTGGGCGGGGGCTGTGTGTACCGGGGCTTCAGTCTGTCTTGTTGGGGCCGAGTTGATTCTCGATTTGGTCGAATTCTTCAATCCTCATTTCCATGTTGAACCGTGGATGGTTTTCCTTGGATATCAAGCTATCAATATCTTCACCTTAATACCAAGCTTCTACGGAAAGCTCCTTGGCAAGGTCACCAAGGGCCTCATGGGTTTCACTGCCTTTCTCCTCATCGGGTTACTTGTCACGTTATTTGCAGCCGCCAAAAACCGTCGATCAGCACACGACTTCTTTACCGTCTTTCACAATGTCTCCGGATGGTCTGACGGAATGGCAGTCTTCATTGGAGCCAACAGTCTTCAGTGGTGCTACTGCTGCCTAGACTCCATGGTGCACATTGCTGACGAAATTCCGAACCCTAGGCGTAACATTCCGAGAGCTCTCGTGTGGTCTATTATTATCGGATTTGTCTCGGGCATGATTTGCATGTGTGCCTATATGTCCGCCACTGATGACTACGATACGGGATACTCTTCTCTAACCATTACCTTTCAAGTTCTCGAACAAAATCAGGGCGCCGCTATTGTAATTCAAGTGCTGGTCTTTTTCTCCTGTATTGGAGCCTTATGGGGTATCCACGTTTGGCAGTCTCGCCTTGCATGGACAATTGGGTATAATCGTGGTTTTCCTTTCGGCAAGTACCTGGAGCAAATTGCTGGTCCTCCTTATGGAACCCCCATTTATGCCTTGATTTTCTCTTCATTCAGCATTGCACTACTGGGTTGTTTATACCTTGGATCGTCAACCGCCTTCAATTCGATGGTATCAGCCTGTTTGCTATTCCAATGGCTCAGCTACAGCATCCCCGTGGTTTTTCTCCACATTCATGGTCGTTCAAAAATTCCCCATGGCGAGTTTTGGTTTCCCAAGCTCGGTTACGTTGCAAACGCCCTGCTTGTTCTGTGGACAAGTATCTCTCTGGTGATCTACTGCTTTCCCTATACTCTTCCTGTCGAAGCGGGAAACATGAACTACGTGTCTCCTGTCTTGGGCGGTGTTACTTTCTTGAGTGCCTTGTGCTGGATTTTGTATGGACGCAAGCACTTTCGTATTCCCGAGGTAGACGGCTTCGTGGAAACTATTGATGCGGTGACTCCTGGTGTCGAGACTAAGCAGGAATCCCACTTCAAGAAGTGAGTTGCTTTGCAGTGGGCAATCGATATCGATGGTTGACTAACGGGAGGATCTGCTGCCTTGAGTGAAGGTATTATAACCAGCTAGCTATAGCTGGCAAGTTACATACTGTCTTTGCATTTCAACACTTTGGTATAAAAGACCGTTTTCATATCTGACGGGCTGAATCAAATTAGGCTTTCGCTGTCAAACCAGAATTTATCGAGTCCCAACTTGCAACCTTTTAGTAATATATGTCCACTCAGGCACAAGACCGTGCAACTACTCCTGGCAGGTCCTGTGGCGTTATCTTCATACACATTCTAGCCGATATGTAGCTAAGACAAGAACTTAAGTATAATGTTCAGTCATTTACTCTTTTTTTTCTATTATCTATGTATATCGAGATAAGAGCGAAGTGATTAATGTATAAGCCACTGGCTTATAGTAATTATACCGGTCTAACTATCGAAGACACGTAAGTTCAAACTTGCTTCTTGTCCGGGTGGTATAGATGCATGCTTCACAAGCTACCTAGATAGTTATTGCACAGTCAGAATACCGATCTACTAATGATTATCTAATAACGTTAAGTGCCTACCTAGAGAGACAAGTTTCGCTTAACATCCGTTTCAAGCCAAGGTGAACCTCTTATCAGTTAGCCATGCCCATCTGGGTCAAGTCTCAGGCTATTGATGCATTACTGGTATTATACATGACTCTGTCATCTGCTCGGCCCGCCTCGAAAGTGCTTTATGTTTCCCAATTTGGCCTCGAGGCGAAGAAGCGGGGCAAGTATGGGGTTACTAACTAGGTGACCAGAGGTCTAGGCCGCGGGAATGCGTCATCCTGTGGGATCGCCCCAAGAGTCTCCCTGGGGAGCACCGTCTTATCTTTTATCCTGTTTGAGAACAATCGCGATACCACATGGCCTTATTCAAGCCCTTGACTTCTCGTAACTGAAATGGCTCGACCCTCTAGCGTTTTGCGGAGTGCTTTGTTCACATACACATGTGGCAGTGCTCTTTTCCGTCTCCATACCAGATGTTGACGTGCCGATATTGATCCCCACATGCTGAGTATAAAGCATTGTAGATTCCACGATTCATAAGTATTGTCTTTCTTGCTCTGTGATCCGGAAAGCAAAAAGTCGTCCGCACTGTCAAACACAATACTACCATACAAAATGGTCAAAGTCACGATTCTTGGGGCGGGGTAAGCACCGATGCTGTTATCGTCGTCGAGGACTCCTTCCTTGGGTCTCGCATGCTAATTGGACGACCATGATAGGGTCACCGGTATGACCATCGCCAGTCAACTCCCAGTTGACTACGAAGTCACCATCGTTGGAAAGCATCTACCCGGAGATCTCGATAAGACCTGGGCCAGTCCTTGGGCTGGCGCCGTATGGGTCGGGGTGCACAACTCCAACAAGGAAGATCAAAGAACGCAACTTGATGGGTTTTCAGGGCTATGGCATCTTGCCGAGAAATACCCCGAGTCGAGTGTGCACATGGCTGAGATGATGGAGATCATGGACATTGGATCTCCTGACGATGTGTGGTATCAGGGCAAGCTTCCTGACTTCCGCTTCCTTTCCAAGGACGAATTGCCGGTGGGAGCCAAGTACGGAATGAAATATAAGACCGTGGTGATTACACCTCAAGTCTTTGTAGTGTGGATGCGACAGAGGCTGGAAGCTCGCGGTATCAAGTTTTTGCGAGCGAATGTTCTCGCCTTGGGTGACTTGAAGAACCTCGGACATGACATTCTTATCAATGCTTCGGGACTTGGATCTACCACGCTCAACGACGTCCGCGACCCTCATCTGATTCCTTACCGCAACCAGTCTCTTGTCATCCGCGATAGCAACTATCAAGGTCTCTATATACGACGAGGTCCCGACGGCTACTATTCGACTGCATTTGCACGACAAGACGGAAATGTCTATATGGGTGGTATGCTTACCGCCAACAGCACTGATATCATAGCGAAAGAGGAGATTCGCAACAGAGTAAGTCTACCCTCGTCCAACTGAAGCAGCCCAGTGTTCATATGCCTACCTCATTTAGATTATTTCTCGTGTCCACGACAACCTTCCCCAGTATTTCCCATCCCCAAAGATTACCTATTATGATTTTGTTGGGGACCATGTCGGGTACTGGCCCTCGCGCCTCACCGAGCATGGGGGCAACAGGGTTGAGAAGGAAGTTCTTGACGGTCAGAGGGTCATCCATGCCTATGGCCAGTTTGCCGGCGGCTACGTTAATAGCTATGGTGTCGCTCTAAAGGTGAGAAGATTGGTAGAAGAGTTTTTGTATCCGCTGGCAAGGCTCTGAAGCTCTCGACTCGGACAGTAAGATGCTACCTCAGTTGAGTCGCTGGTGACTCTGATGCTCTTTGAACCAGTACCTGGATATATTAAAGACTCTGGAGCTTAGATACTACGTATTTACACTTGTGAAATTTCCCCGGTTTGACCTACTGCCGTTCCACTTCGTGGATGTTCCGAATAGAGAGACATATTATTTCCGTCCCTTGATGGGGTCTAGGGCAGGTAGCTACCTTCAGGGACGTTGACACCAAGCAAAATCATGGTTACTTCTCAGGAAATGTCAACAATTGGACCTCGCGTTTATTGCTCATGGACGTATGGCGCTGGTCATGGATTCGACGTAGCTGACAGATGACGAATTAAGGGATCAAAGCAGGCCAAAACCCAGCAGGAATTACTTTCTTACCCTTGCAGCCATCCACTCCCATGTAGCCTGCCATAGAAGAAGACGTGACTGAGATTATTAATTACCTTAGCATTGGCAGCTTGGCATGCTATATAGCACACATACTAACGCGTATGAATATAACACTAGAATACCTTAATCTCTAGGCAATCCCAACGGAAACGTGGATCCCGTCGAAAGCATGCATGAAACCAAAGAATACCACAACAAACCGCGAGTTGATAAGTAGAACGTTTCTATAAATGTCTATTTGAGTCACATATCTTCTCCCCTAAAGCCATGTTGCCGTATGAAACTTTCAACCGTCTGCAATTTCTGCTGCTCCTCCGGGGCGTTCCTTGCCGCAGCACCAAATTTCTTAAGCTCCCTAGCAGGGGCTTGATCGACAGGCTGACCATTACAGTAGTTACCCTTGACAAAATCCACATACTTTCGGATAGCGTTAATTTCGGCAGTCTTCTCAGGGGTCGATGCCTCATTTGGCGCGGTTCGTTCCAAATAGCGCGCCTTTGTCGTCCCGGACACCCGGTTGTACGCATCTGCGAAGCCCTGGAAACTCAGTGGCTGCGAGACTGCCCACACCGTCTGCTTGTCCCATGTTTCTGGATCGAGAAAAACCCCGTGGACAATGTCGCCGTAATCGTCGCGTACCGAGGTGAATGGTGTTGATTCCGGCGCGTTCCCCATGGGGAAGAGGTGGATGGTAAGGTAGCCCTCCGAATCCTCCAAACGTGCAAACCCACCAAAGGCTTTTTCATAAGCAGGGTTCCAGAAGTTTTCCATCATCCATCCCACGTTGACGTTGACGGTGGTGCGGAATCCAGCTTGCCTGGCGTAGTCGGAAATATTATTCTTGTGGAAATTTGTTTTGATGTTGATGGTGCCGTGTGTAATCTTGGAGACTTCTGGTAGGCCAGCATATATAAACGCTTGCACACCTTGTCTCTGGGCGGCATCCACCACATTCTTGCCCATCTGGGTCTCGTCTAAATCACCGTCTCCAGCATACTCTGGGGCATCGCCATTCGTATTCAAGAAGACGCCCCAAGCACCTTTCAAGGCCCGATCGAGCTCAGCTGTATCCCAAGAGTCCGCTTTGATAACCTCGGCACCAACTAGCTTGAGATCCTGGGCCTTTTTTGCTTGTCAGGTCCCGTGTTGTGACCCTGACGCGAAAGTTGGGGTTTTGGAGCAACGACACTGCTACTGATCTTCCCACCCGGCCTGTGCCGCCGATGACGACGATGAGCTTTCTATATGTCATTTTTGCGGTTTGACATCAAATAACGGTAAAGTGATATTGATTGAATTGTTGCCTATTTATGACTGGGAGTAAGATCTCAGTATTATAACACTTTTGGTAGACTATAATTATCGGGCGTCTTGGCAGTAAGTACCTTAGTATATACTGTGCTTAGAAATCACTAACTAGTTACTTTCTAACTAGGTAGTTCGCTTATTGTCTTAATCCGGCAGTCGGCGTTCATTTGGCTGAACCATGCAGGGTTACCGGATCCACAAGCTTTGCGTGTCTTGAAACTTGTAATAGCCAGTAGGAAAAGGAGTCATGGGAAATCCAGATTTATGAGTTCCAGAATAGACGTGGAAGAATATTTCACGAAAGTTTAAGGACATACGACGGCGGATTAAGCTATTAATGACATGATGCCCAGGCATTGTAAACTGGAATTCATCTATTGGCAGACGGACAGTATCATGAGAGTAGACAGTAGTTGAAGCTCACTGCCCAGATCGTGCACGGCTAGTGATTGCGCCATGAGCTGTGCACCAATCTCAGCGTAATGCAGTTGTTTACAAAGGAATAAATTAGTCCTAGTAACTAGATTCTCTTGTATTCAATCTGCTTTGAGATCAGGCAGCGGGTGATCGAGTAGATTAACTATGAGGGTCCAACCGCACCTTCAATCGCCGCAATCTTGCCGCTTTCCTGCTGACCAAAGAACAATTTCATATCCACGTGGTTGGGGGCCAGAAGGCAGGGAACCCTCCTCGCAAGGACAGATCACACTGGTCAATTGCCGCCTCCAAGTGTGTCGCCCAACCGGCAGCATCGGCAAGCTCTTGGGTATTGGCCGGACCTGCCCCGGTGCCACCATGCAGTCCAAGAATGGCATGCTGGTGCCGATTCGGAAAGACAGCCCCGACATTGTTCGCTGAGGGGGTGTGCCATCGGCCTTAAAAAAAGAAATTCTTTTTTTTTTCTTTCTCTCTCATATGGAGTGTTTGGATGTGGATTTTGTTCGAGTCGCGTTGGTGTGTATGGATCTACAGACGCGTCAACCCCGCGTGGGGCTACTTGTGGGCGGGGCTCGGGACCACACAGTACTCAAGCACTACAGTCACGTGTATCTCCGAATAAATATATTGGTAGGAAACAGGGTATGATACCGGAAAGTCATGTGACCATTGGTACTCGGCATACCATACATTTCCATACAGACAGATTTCTGTTACATTTCAACATGCACGACAAATACCGCGTCCCTAGGAAACTAATTGGTTACAATACAAGATGCAGCCACACTTTTACCGTCACCTACACTACAATAATAGACCTCGGGAGACGTCATGTATTACCTAGCTATACCTAATTTTGTATTGGGAAGACTGGTAATTTTCGATGCAGCTACCACAGGTCACCATAGGTCACAGGTGGCTTCTGGGGCTGTCAATCTAAATAATAATTCATGTTACTAGCCCAGTGTTGCCTAATAGATGCTGAAATGACCCCGCACGGAAGGTAAGTTCATGTGTCTATGGGGGAGATGAAACGAGGTTTTCAACTAAATCAATTTTCGCCCATTCCTTCTCCTCTCGTTTGTACTCTTTTCTTGAGTGATCCTAGATCCCACAATACTCAATTAACCCTGTCCCGATATGGGGCCAAAGTATTGCGTCAGATTTATCAATTCAGCCCCGAAGCCATCGGACGTCCTGGTTGCCGCTACGAGTGGCACTGTGCGGGCAGATAGCCCACCTCGACATACTTCGGGTCAAAATCGCCAGGCCATCCGAAGCCGCTTTGGCTGCGAAGAGTGCAGGAACAGACGGGTTAAGTGTGACGAGAAATTTCCTGTATGCCTGCGCTGTCAACGTCGCGGTACCTTCTGCCATCCGAAAGCCCGGCCGGTCGGTTGGCGCACGGAAATTCCTTGGCTTGCCAATCCAGGACTGAACCCTTGGAAGACCCGTCCCAATGCGCGCTTACTGCAGTTTTGGATGGAGGTTACCAGCAATATCCTCACCATGAGCCCAGATCACAACCCCTTGTCGTTTCCTCTCATTCCTCTTTTGGCCGAGAGCCCCAGCCTATTGCATGCGGTACAGAGTGTCAGTGCCGGCTATGACGTTTTCTTCCAGCAGTCAAGTCTTGATCTCTGCTTGAGGGAACGTGGCCTTGCACTTGAACTCCTCCGCAAAGACCTCCAGGAGCACACTGCAGGCAGCCCCATCTCCCCCGCGTCTGTCCTCAGCATCTTTGTCTTGGGCATTTCTGCACCATGGGTCGAGACCTCACCACACACCTACGGTCAAGAACATTTAGTTGCTGGAAGAATCGCACTCGAAGATCTCCTCAATAACGAAAAGACACGGTTGGATTCAATTACAACATTCCTCCTCGGGTGGTATCTCCATTGGGATATGGCTTGCTCCTTGGTAGCATCGGTGGATGGTCTATTACCACTCGACCCACCTGAGCTGTCCTTGGCCTTCCAAGATATACATTCTAGTTTCCACCCAATAGTAGGCTTCTCTGCAGGATTATTCTATGTCCTATCTAGACTGGGACACTACTGTCGACAAGTTTATGAGCATTCACAACAACGAGACGAAGTTCTCGAAATTGCGTTCTACCAACAGTTGATCTCTTGGCAGCCCATGTGCCAGGAACAGGACCATGTTTGCATGAACGATTCCTTCAAGTACCACGGTCTGATTACGCTGGGCAGAGTATGCGGGCCGGTCGGCATGACTTCCATTAACAAAACAAAGGCACCGGAACTGATCTTCAAGGTGCAAGCTGAAGCTCAACTTCGGGAGTATACACTCAAGTGTCTAGACGCCATATTCGGTGTGCCTCTAGAGTCAGCGTGTATCAACTATCAAGCGATTCCATTGCTTACTGCCGGCTCAGAGCTGACGGCTAGCGACATGGCTACACGAGAAAGGGTGATTGAGTTATTCAAGGCTTTATTTTCGCGCAATCGACTTCAAGTAAACATATGGGCCATCGAATTGCTCGAGGAGATCTGGGTTTTGCGGGACCTTGGAATCGCCATGTCTTGGATGGAGTTGCAGACGCAAAAGCAATGGGTTCTTCAATTTGGGTAACTAGAAGATGAGGGGTGAAAGGTTATGGGAATGGAATTTTGGCGTGACATATCAAGTTGGGTGTATATGGATTAGGGTTCAGCTTATTGTATGGAGAAAAAGTGGTGTCAACTACCGAGTGGTCCACCCCAAAACACATACATAGTCAATGCGATAAAATACAACTGATATCTCAATAACGGTTGTCTATTTGGAGGTTTCCATGCCTTTTATATGATTTATAGCCTCTTTACGCATCTAAAGAACTTTTATATCGTTGTGATTGTAGTTGGTTCAGACACCAGGACAATGTTTAACGAGCAGTATTGTTTCTTTGATTACAATTCCTGACCTGGTGACGTACAAATCCTCGGACAGACCCGCGGATACTTAGGAGCTTGGGCATTTTCTCTCCAGTAAGGGCCGCAATTACTACCAATCTTTATAAATTGCGTACAGTAGGGCTTTAGTTCACGGATAAATCCACAAAGTAGACCGAGAAGTACAGAAACGCGATAGGTGAATTGCATTCTCTGAATGAGAAGAAAGTCTTTAGTGAATCTTTTGCATGTATTTTGGAACAAGCCACATGAAAAGCACTTATATTGAGTAGAGCTGAGCCTGGAGCGTACCTAGTAGCAGAATGAAGACCTCAGAGCACCCAGCGTAGTGGAAAAGGAGTTGTTTGTTACCAGAGGCCCGAGAGTTTCCCGGAACAGCTTACCAACTCAGAGGATACATAGACACCGATGAGATGTGAATTAGCCTCTCTCAGCAGCACTCAGAGTGTCACTTGTCCGAATCAGAATAGTCAGATGCATCAAACGAGAAAACCGAGAAGTAGTCCAGTAACTTCAGTGACATGCCTGACATGTTCGAAGATTGTCACTTGAAAAAAGTGAGCTTGTACATCCTACAGCACATATAGAACAGAATGGTATGGTCCATAGACTTTAGACCAGTGGCATAATTACCATTTCATGCATAGCTGCATCGATGACAGGCGTAATGTTGGCATTCCACTGAGATTCGATTGGCACCAACAAGAACTATACCTGCGCAAAATACCCTGCAGCCATAATTCCTGTTGTGGCAGTCGCAGCATTCCCAGCCCATGCGGATTAGGCCCTGGACGAAGCAATACGCTTCACTACATACAGAATCCACTGCAACATCTGTGACAGTTCTCTCCTGTCCACACATTGTCTGTCTCCCAGATTTTTGGTTGAATCTGGCATGACGAAAATATGTTATACCTTGTTGGAGAACACGATGTCCACATCGATAGACTCGATACTGGCGACCACACATTGTTTTTCATAAAAACCAAAGAAAATGATGCACGGAATGCTTTTTTCAGCTGAAATGATAATGTGAATTGGATGAAGGATAGAAGAGAGAAAAAATTAATATTCGACAAACGAGAATACTAAAACTAGACATAATTATATCTAGAGATCTGACTATACTCTCACCTGTAGGTCATCTAGCCCGCTGCAACCCTAACCTAACATCCCTCACTTTGCGTTGTGACAGCGCTTAATCGAAATTACTTTCACTCGTTAGATATTACAAATTAGTGAGCTCTCTCCCTGTCCATACATGGATGAAAATCTCCCACATCCACGTCTAGATATTGTGTGGGTGTCACATGCAGGACTCCCTGGAGTAATGCGTATTTAATAGAGACACGGGAGGAAAGGAAATAAGGGGTAAGTCAAAAAGTCAGGGAAATTGAAATTAGACATATTGAATGCATATAGGACCAAGCATTGAAACCAATCACAGATTAATGTCTAAGGAGAGTAAAGGAAGTTGTCTTAGCCAGCGGCCTTAACCTATATCAGAGGGTGTAACAACTGACAGGAGACAACATAAGCCCAGAATGATAGCCATCTAGTATTCATTCAAAAAGGTACCGCTTAATATTTTCAAGTCCCTGGAGATCTCCTTCGGTCGAGTTAGACTTCTCTTTCTCAATCCAACCTTCAGTATAGCCTCCTCCAAAATCAATCAGGTATACATCCTCACTGACATCAATGAGCACATTAGCTGCCTTTGCATCACCCCAAATGATATTATGTGAATGAAATTGTGTAAGTGTCTGCGAAATTTGATCAACCCATTTTTGTCGGAGCTCGGAGAAATTGGGATCATGTCCATCAATGCAATTGAGTGTAGCTCCACCACAATTAATGTATGATAAAGCCAATCCCATGACATACCCATCATCATCTTGAATGAGCCCTTCCAGTTGAGATGTGATAATCGGGGGATCGAATTTAGCCATGCGAATCTTTGAATAAGTGAGAATCTCTCTTCCGGTAATACCCTGGTCACCTCCATAGACGATCTTGAAGAAGCTAGGCTGTGGTCGCCCATGAATAAATACCTTATGAGGTATTCCTGGCAGTGCAGCTGATTCTGCGCTAATTGGAACCTCGACTTCCCTAGGATGGTAGACAGGAAAAGCCGAGTAGTCCACAGAAGATGGTAAAGAGGCCCCGATAAGATGATTCCCTATGTTCTTAGTGTTGCTGAGATAAACGGGAACTATTTTGTCTCCCCCTACCTGCACAGTATAGTGCAATTCTTCCGCAAACAGACAACCCTCGAGTGTGTACTTTTGGCTCAGGTCCAGGGGAGCTATTTCGTGGAAGATTGAGAAATGGTTGTAAGATCCAATCGTGCATTTCGTCAAGGGGGTCTTCAAACTCCCCATCCACCTCAGACTCATGAGGAATCCATTCCGGTTCTTGCCGTTGAACGTGTCGAAGATATTCAGTCAGGAGGGCAGGCGAGCTTTCGAAGCTGGAGGTAAAGAGATCGATTTTAAAGCGTTTGTTGGAGACATAAACATTCAACTGCGTGTCTGTGTTTCTGGTGCTTGATTTAAATGGACCGATCTCATAGATGGGTTGCTTCCGTGACATTGTTGGCCACCGAGGAGTTGCGGCGAAAAAGAAAAGAAAAGAAGAGATAGGAGTAAGAAACTGGTAGGTTGGGGAGTGTATAGTCCTGGACCCACGTGAAGCTCGGACCACCATACCCCCATTGGGCGGTCAGTTATTTTGGGACGCGGCAGTTTGGTGTTTGGGAGCCTCAAGTCAACGCGCGACGCGTCGACAACTCGCACTTGCCTCAACTTTGGGATCATTGTACAGCAGGAGCTTGGTGTATTTGTTTGGTCTATTTTGTCTATTTTGTCTATTTTGGGAATGTGAGTTCTCGTGTTAATCATTTACAAGTCTCTATGCTGACATGTTTGGAAGGTATCGACAACGCCCGGTCGGTGGCGACGACAGTGTCAAGACCCCATTACAACCAAAATCCGTGAACGCTCAGAACTCGGTCGACCGACTTGTAAGACCATTCAAATGTCCTGGAACTGCGACGCCCACCCGGGCATCTGAAAAACCATCGAGAAAGAGACGAAAGGTCAACTATGCCAATGCTGATGGAAGCGTGGAGGATGGAGAGGAGAAGCCATACACGAATGATGACCGGCTCGCTTTGGAAACAAGAGAGGCCAACAAATTCCCCGCGTACAAACCAAAGGACAAAGATGTGGCGTTCAGGGCACGATTTCAGGTTCCCTTCATCAACAAAGCCGCCGGCGAGTACAGTTCCGGTCGGGTGGCTCCGACATTGGGGATGCGGCGAGGCGCGACATTTGTGGTCAAGCCACTACATGACCCGAGCGGTGAATTTGCGATCGTTTTATACGACCCTACAGTAGATGATGTCGCCGAGGAACCTGCGCCTAAAAGCCTAGAGGCAGCGACGGAGGATACACCAACATTGGATGAGCCAATTATGCATAAGAGTCTAGCAGATATTCTGGGGCTCAAAAAGGACGTGGAAGACAGACCAAAGGTGCCTGTTGTGATTGATCCGAGACTGTGCAAAGTGCTTCGGCCACATCAAGTCGAGGGCGTGAAGGTATGGCACCCCGGGATGAGCTGTGGTAATGGGAGCAAAGCTGACGCCACGCTTACGTACAGTTCCTTTATCGATGTGTTACTGGGTTGGTCGACAAGAATGCAAATGGATGTATCATGGCAGATGGCATGGGACTTGGTAAAACAGTGAGCTTGCCCGACCCAATTTTCATACCTTGGTTCTAACGAGTGCAGCTTCAATGTATCGCATTGATGTGGACACTACTCAAGCAGTCCTCAGAGGCCGGAAAAACTACTATTCAGAAATGTGTTATTGCATGTCCGTCAAGTTTGGTTGGTAATTGGGCCAACGAACTGGGTTAGTTATGCTTGATACCATGCTTATTATGAGATTGACTGACCATATCAGTAAAATGGCTTGGAAAGGACGCCACTACACCTTTTGCGATCGATGGAAAGGCCACGAAAGCAGAGCTAATCACCCAGATCAAGCAGTGGGCCATTGCATCAGGGCGTGGAATCGTTAGGCCCGTCCTCATTGTGTCCTACGAGACACTCCGTATGTATGCGGATACTTTGAATGATACCCCAATTGGACTTCTCCTATGTGATGAAGGCCATCGACTAAAAAACAAGGAAAGCTTGACATGGACCGCTTTGAACCAACTCAATGTTACTCGCCGAGTGATTCTTTCTGGAACACCTATCCAGAATGATCTGTCTGAGTACTTCGCTCTTCTTCACTTCGCGAACCCGAATCTTCTTGGCTCCCAGGCCGATTTCCGAAAGAGGTTTGAACTGCCGATTCTGCGGGGTCGGGATGCTGCTGGCTCAGATGCAGAAAAGAAGCTGGGAGATGAACGATTACAGGAACTGTCTGGGATTGTCAACAAGTTCATCATCCGCCGGACCAATGAGCTCCTTTCAAAATATTTGCCCGTCAAGTATGAGCATGTTGTGTTCTGCAACATGTCACAGTTCCAGCGCGGTTTGTACAATCATTTCATCAAGAGCCCGGAGATCCAAAGCCTTCTTCGCGGAAAAGGCAGTCAGCCGTTGAAAGCGATTGGTCTTTTGAAAAAGCTTTGCAACCATCCGGATCTACTTGATCTAGCGAACGACCTTCCAGGATGCGAGCACACCTTCCCCGAGGACTATTCACCCCCGGATACCCGAGGTCGCGATAGAGAAATTAAGAGTTGGTACTCTGGCAAGATGATGGTGCTCGATCGCATGCTTGCCCGAATCCGACAGGACACCAACGACAAAATTGTCCTCATCAGCAATTACACTCAAACCCTCGATCTTTTCGAGAAGCTCTGCCGGTCACGGGGTTACGGCTCCTTGCGTCTCGACGGTACCATGAATATCAAGAAGCGTACAAAGCTCGTCGACAGATTCAACGACCCAGAAGGCCAGGAATTCGTATTCCTGCTGAGTAGTAAGGCCGGTGGCTGTGGACTGAATTTAATTGGTGCCAACCGCCTGGTACTATTCGACCCCGACTGGAACCCCGCAGCCGACCAGCAAGCGCTAGCACGAGTGTGGCGTGACGGACAAAAGAAAGACTGTTTCGTCTACCGATTCATCGCAACCGGCTCAATCGAAGAGAAGATTTTCCAACGCCAGTCCCACAAACAATCCCTCTCGTCGTGTGTCGTGGACTCCGCAGAAGATGTCGAGCGTCATTTCTCCCTCGACTCGCTGCGCGAACTCTTCCAGTTCAAACCAGATACTCGGAGCGACACTCACGATACATTCAAGTGCAAACGGTGTCGGCCTGGCGGCTTGCAATATATCAAGGCTCCTGCTATGCTGTATGGTGATACTAGTTCGTGGAACCATTTTGTCAATACCGGCGAGAAGGGGCCGCTTAATCAAATTCAGGATCTACTTCTTCGGCAAGAGACTGGCGAACCGGATGTTTCGGCTATTTTCCAGTATATCAGTCACTGATATACTTATTTGGCATACTTGGGCGGGTTCAGAGTTTATTACAGTATTGGCTTTGATGTATCTTTGGAGCGTATTCATTTGGGAAGCGAACAATTATGACTATAGAACGAATTCAATGTTTTTGTTTTTGTAGTTTTGCATCATGAAGAGCTAGGTATATTTACCACAAAATGAGGGTATACGGATACTACAATCTAAGAGAACTAGTACACTTCAATAGACAAATTTGAGAGAAAGTCAAGAAATGTGATCTCATTCAAACCATCGATATCTATTCACAAGCAATAACTATTCACAGACGAACGATTCTGGGTATGAGGACAACGAAAAGATCCAGCTAAGCACAACACAAAAAGAAAGGTCTATGGAGGAGACAAGTTCCAGCTCTAGCTACATACGTAACTATTTCTTCCTCCGTCCTCCAATACCCAGCCGGCCCAGATTGGGAAGACTAGACTTGTGTTTATGAGAAGACGACCCACCCTTTGCCGTACTGCTATCCAATGCACGTCCGGAAGCAGTGCCACTAGCACCAGGACCGGAACCTCCTAGGCCAGAATTTCCAGCAGCAGCATTACTAGGGCCCGGGGCACCACGCGGGGCATCGGGTAGACTAGATCGGTCCTTGGGACGGTCTGCAGCAGCGACGGAGAGGGCGGCTGTAAGAGATGGGTTGTTCAGGGGTCCGGACTGGTCGAAGGAGTGGCGGGTAGAGCCCTGGGATCGACGGGCTCGTTCCTGAACGGACTTGAATTTTTCGAGGAGTTCGACCCAGCGAATGGAGTTCTCGTCACGGGGTTTCAGGCGGGTACCTGTGGAACGGTCGAAAGATGGAGCCGTTTGGGTAGTGCTAGGGAAACCCGTCTCAGTAAATCTTGGGGTAGAATGCGGGGGGCAGGGACCATACCTGCGGGGTGCACCGTGGAGGAAACCAATGTTGCCAACGCTGTTCAGACGGTTCTTCAGGGCGGCGAAGGCGGAGCTCTGGGGGAGGAGCATGAGGACGCCGTAGAGGCATTTGTACAGGAAGGGGTATTTTTCGGGTTCAAGGAGTTGGAGGCGGAGATCTGTTGGGGATTAGCTGCTGGGACTGGAGTTGTTTGTTTGGAAAGAAACGGACATGTGAATACTGGTGACTCTAGTAGTTGCACCAGTTTGTCGATTTGGATTAGCATATTAACAGTCATTTCCAACTCGGCACTGCGAATGGTCTTGTCAGCACACTATTGTGGTGGATGGAGCTGGCATACTGACAAGATCTGGAGGAGATTGTATGCCTGCTCATAGGCCTGGGCAAGGAGACAGAGAGAAAACGTAGAGACAGCGTTGTGGCACCACGACCTGAAAAGCCCAACAAAGAACATTTGACCATCCTAAACAATACATTAGTCTCAAGGAAATCAAGGGAAGGTGACCGGGAGTATTACTTTCGAATCAAGATTTCTCAAGCGTTTCCTCAATTCCGAGAGCTCGGGCGCAGTGATGAGGTTATTGTTCAAGTTCTGGACCATGATACTGGCAAACTCGAGATCCTGATGATACGTTAGTATAGAATACTCCAAAAGTGTGCGATGAACATCACCTCTTCCTTCTCGAGGCAATCTGCCAAAGTCCGGTAGATACGCTCGGGGCTCAGATTCAGAGAAAGCTGCCTGATGATCAGATTCCCGCGCACTTCGAGCAAATGTCTGTCCGTAGAGTAGAGCTGCAACAAGTTGACCATGAAAGAGGTAAAGTAGCTATCCTCGCTGTTTCTTGAGATCTGCGAAAGGAGCTGCAGATCTTTGGTTACAACCGCCTCTGAAGGGTCGGATAGCGTTTTCAGCAAAGCTGGGAAGGTACCGTCATTGAACGCGACAACCTTCCGCGGGGCTTTACGGTGGAGCATTATGAGCCATGCAAGGGCCGCAACTCTAGTAGCTTCATTTTCATTGAGGAATTGTAAAGTGAGGGAGTTGACAGCAGCAGCGTAATCAAGATCGGCAGGAGGCACCGGCGTGGAAACAATGCTACTACGTGGTGTAGCCGCAACAGAATTATCTTGTGCTGTTTGTTTCTTTGTGTCAATGCTCGCT